GGGGCTCGGAGCCGGTGTGCGGAGGCTGAGGCGCTTAGCCTGCGGCTACCACCACTCGGGAAAGGCCTTGCGCTCTGCACTCTACGGAGTCGCGGCTCCAGGTCCCCGTTCTGGATGGGGGTGTCCTTTTTTGGCGCGGTAGTTGTTGCTCTAGTCGTCAGTGCTGACGTTTTGATTGACACCACATCAACTTACTCCTCTTACTGTAGCTGTTTATGTTGCCTAAATTGTTGACACATTTGTAAAGTAAACTTGCATTACTGTAAAAAATATTAAATACTTTGCCCTAATCAGAACAAAAAGATACTATACTGTAAAAAATAGGGCTAATACAATACAAATAAAAATTATGCAGTTTTCTCTCAGGTTCTAAGAGAATACATTAGAAAACTGCACGACTAAAGTTGGATAAAGTCCCGAGTTCTTTAATGTTGGTTCTTTTGTTGAGAAGATAGGAAGGCCAGCTGAAGTTTGAAATTCTTGTAAGTTTTATAAGATGCCTTTAAGGTTCTGTCCCACATCTAGTGTTCTCAGTACTGGTTTTCTAGCACGTGGAGCAAAGAACTTATGTCATATTTCATGCCATAATTATTTCAGGCATAACATTTATAGTGAAATAACTTTGTGGCTCTAGGGGAGCTGTATAGAAATCACAGAGGCTTTGAGGTGTTTGTGCAGCATTTCAAAGTGACGCCAAACAGACCTCAGGTGAGAATCTTAAGTCAAATTCGGTTAAACTTTGTTTTTCTTGAGTGCTGTTTCAGTCATGCTAAGGGCTCTTTGTAGTGCTGACATCAAGTATTTCGAGTTCTGCATTTGAGGGTTGCACAGCTTAAATATTATGCCATGAAACCCATTTCTGTTGTGGATGTTGTCTCAGGGACAGAACTGGCACCGGTACTATAAAATATATTATACAGTGTTAAGATTTTACCCACTGTTACTCCACATGGAAGTGTTTGGGAAGTAAGAGTGGCATGTTTTCACCACAACTCCTCCATGTCTTTGTAGAAATAAACTGGTTTGATTCTAAAAGCTGACCAGATGTGTTTGAATCTATACAGAAATAATGTTGATATCTGGAACCCATGTCGAACTTCTATGAAGAAAGGGCAACAATGATTGCAGCCGGAGATTTGCAAGAATTTGTTCCTTTTGGTCGAGACCACTGCAAGCACCACCCTAATGCTTTGAACCTTCAGCTTCGCCAGCTGCAGCCGGCCTCTGAGCTGTGGTCTTCTGATGGTGCTGCTGGCTTGGTGGGATCTCTTCAGGAGGTTACAATCCACGAGAAACACAAGGTGCCATGAAGATTCTCAGTGTATTTTTGAAATGTTGAGTAATATAATCTTGAAATTTAAGGCTACCTCCATGCAGCTGAGAAAAGAGTAAGGTGCTACTTCCAGGGTAAATGCTAAGGTGTTGTAATTTCAGTCAATGCTAAAATAACAATGTACTAAATAATAGTGTCTTAACTGCTAGTTTTAGACATACTGTATAGCTTGTGATTTTATACTGAGAATCATTATTGTGATTATGCTTCTTTTTAAGCATTTCTGTTAATATGTGGAAACTAGATTTTGTGTTATTTGATGATTAAATGGTAGACATTAGAAATGGTCCCTGCAGTTAATCACTTACATGTTTCTTTTTTAAAAAAAATATTTGTTTTAGTTGTAGTTGGACACAAAGCTTTATTTATTTATTCATCTATCTATCTATCTATCTCTCTATTTATTTATTTAATGTGGCGCTGAGGATCGAACCCAGTGCCTCACACATGCTAGGTGAGTGCTCTACTGCTGAGCCACTACCCCAGCCCTCACTTATGTTTCTGAGGAGAGGGAACTGTTTTATAAGAAGATATTTATAATCCCAGCTACTCAAGAGGCTGAGGCAGGAGGATTTTGAGTTCTAGAGCACCTTGGGCAACTTAGCAAGATCCTGTCTCCCTCATAAAAAAGCAGAAAATAGAGGCGATTCCCCCAGACCTGCTCTGTTGGCCTGGAGGGTCTCACCAGGGAGCAAATCTCAATAAAGTCTTGTTCAGCAGCTTTAAAAACAAAAACAAACCCCAAAACAGATAGTACAGTAGTTCTTTAAAAAAGTTTTTTTATGTAGTACTGAGGTTTGAACCCAAGGGTGCTTTACAGTTGAGCTACATTCCCAGCCCTTCTTGTATTTTATTTTGAAATAGGGTCTTGTTAAATTGCTGAGGCTGACCTAGAACCTGTGATGCTTCTGCTTCAGTGTCCTGAGTCACTGGGATTACAGGCACCCTTTCTTTCTTCCACTTATTTATGGCTGGGACAAGGGAGGGAAGGTGAATATTTGCAGCTGTGGAGCAGGAAGTTTGCACTGTGTGTGAACTCCCCAGTGATGCTCTGTGCACCTCACTTGCCCTCTTCACACCCTGTGTACACCTAATCTGTCTATTTAGTCTCCCAAGGATATGATTTTCTTTTTTGATCTCTAGGGAAGCTTTAGTTTTTGCTTGTTTACTTTTGGGAGAATAATACAGGGGTATAATGTAAAACATATAGAGAATTCTTGAGTGAATTTTTGTTTCTGAAAATCCTATAAGATATATTACACGCTGTGTACTCTATCCTCTGTTCACTAGTGCACCAAACCTCTGAGAAGTTGGGCTGTATTGAGTTTAACTCCTCAGACAAATAAATCTTGCTCCAGGCTGTTGAAAAAGCAAAAAGAGTGCTTGAACATGTCTTATATGTGTTGATTTTAAAGGAAAGCTGGCAGTTAAGGAAAGGCGTCAGTGAAATTGGAGATGAAGCGGACTATGATGAGGAACTCTATGTGGCGGGAAATATGGTGATTTGGAGCAAAGGAAGTAAAAGCCAGGCATTGGCTGTTTATAAAGCATTTACTGTTGACAGTCCTGTTCAGCAGGTGAGTTGATTTGAATTCTAATATTTGATTAAATATTTAATACATGTGTTTTTTCAAAAAAGCTTTTGTTTCAAAATTTAACAGAAATGATAACAGTATGAAGTTCCCAGCAGCTGTGGGTGCATTTTAACATGTAGTAAACATAATAGCAGGAAAATAAAAATTTCATTTTATGTATCCTCACCTTTTTGTACTCTATCCTTTGCCAGTGACAATGGCTCAGTATTATTCTTCAGTACTTCAATTTGTTATTGTCAACAAAAATCTGTTAAGGATATGAAAATATTTTTAAATGCATTATTATAATTGATTGTAACATAAGGAATAAATAAAAATTGTGGCATTTATAGTAAAAGAAAAAGAAAAAACTAATTTACTACCACTGCAGTTGGCTTTTACATTTAACTCTTCTAAAAAAAATGGTGAATAAAGGGAAGGAATTAAGCATTTGCTGTGTCTTTTCAGGAAGACATGCAGTCTATCTCTAGTTGATGGAGAATTCCAGCAAGTACATGTAGAAAAAGTGATAGAATTAAAATATCACCATTTCATAACCTCCAGTGTAATAATTGGTTCAGCTAAAATTGTAGATGGTTGCTAACACTGTTGCATGAAAGGGTCGTACATGACAGTAAGGTTGTCACCCTGTGGATTCCTTGCTAAATGGAAGGGAAGAAATGTACTTCTATTTTGGAGTTGTCTATTGATCTCCACCTCAACCACCTGATGGACTGGAGCATGGCTAACAACAGGAAGAGGGACATTGTGTGCCCTAGAGTAAGGTACGTGGTGTCATTCTCCAGGTGTTCTTCCCAACAGTATTTAACTGAATATTTAGTCCTAATTTCTAGTTTATAGACAGGTGAGGACTAGAGGATCACATTGTAAAGTAGCATGAGACGAGTGTGTTGGTGGTACAGGTGAGGTAAGAATGTCTGAAGGTTGGTAATTTTTGAAGCTGGCTGAGGAAGATTCATTATCTTACTGTGTTTACTTGGTATATATTTGAAATTTTTCATAATAAAAAATTTAAAGAGAAAAACCCCATGAAGAAACTAGCAGACAAAACCATAATATAGAAGTGCCTGCATTCTGATCTTTTTAAGAAAGTCATTCTGTGAGAAAGAAAAATGGTGAGGACTATTCTAAATGAAGAGACTCAAGGAACATCACTAAATGCAGTGTTTTTGAATCCTGATAAATGAGCTCTGGTTGACTCCTAGATTTTTGAAGGGAGTGGGGAAATGGGAAAACTGAGAAGGGGCTGGATGTTAGATGATATTAGAGAATTTTTTCCTCCCTTAGGAGGGATGATAATTTTGTGGTTTTATAGGAGAACATTTTTATTTTTAGGAAGTCACAAGTAGTATGTAGGGACGAAGTATCATGATGTGTTTAAGTAGTCACTGACCTCCCTTCTCAATCCCACGAGTACACAAATGTACATACATAGACAAATAGGGGAAAATGTTATGGTTGTTGGGTTAGGTGAAACAGATATTGACTGTATTATTTTAACTTTTCTTATTGAAAAGTTTTAGAATAAAAAATTAGGAGAAAAACTTAATCCATGTACAATTAGAATTAGAGGTTGGGCCATTGCTGGGAGGCTTTGGCTGATATGAAGTTCCTCATTTATAAATACTGAAATCTTTGTGCTTTGACACTGCTATACCCTCCTCCTTCTATTAATTATTCTTGATGAGCATTGCGTTCTATTTATTTGGAAGTACAGACTGAATTATTCCATAATTTGAGGGCAGATGTGAAAGCATCTATCCAGGAATGTTAAGTCACTGATCTTTTTTAAAGGTAAATTTTCTCCCATGTAACCCACAGAGTATAAATGTGAAAAGTGAATTTTAAAAAGTTTTTTTAGCTTTATTGTTCCCATCTTAATTTCTCCAAGGAACAGTTGCTTGTTTGCTGGGTTCCATGGAGGTATAGTTATCTCCTTTATCTTAAGTCTCTTTTATACTAATATCATCACTTCTAAGTGTAATCATAAGATTTGGAATTTCTGTCCTTTTGTTCTGGAAAATGTATTGTTAGTCTTCTTGCTAATGCGGAGAGAGATAATTTTTTATTTGGTTAAGGAATATTAGCAGGTATGTGTGACTCATTGTTTGTTCTTTTTTTTTTTTTTTTGGTGGTGCTGGGAATTGAACACAGACCAGGGAGGCAAACATTCTACTAACTTAGCTGTATCCCTAGCCCTGTCCATTCTTTATTGGTCCTACTGGTGTTTAGTGTTACAGACATGGTGCTGGGTGCTGGGGCTACATAGATGAATACAGTTTCTGCTTTTGAAAGGCTTGTAGCCTAGAAGGTGGGCTGATCAGCAAATAATTTAAGTGCTATAGCTATGGCTGTATAGTAACTGTATATCCACAGTGTGGTGAGAACTCAAAGCGTTGAGATCTGAAGGAGGGATTTTCAAAGAAGATGACATTTGAGTTGGAAATTGGTGAAAGAAGGGGATTCTAGGCAAAAAGAAATCTCAGCAAAAAGAATTGCGGAAAACATAACTTAGGCTAAGTTCAAAATTACACATGAGGGTAAAGAGAGAGGCAGGTGGGTACTGTGTAGATTTAGGCTCCTATCAAATCAAAGAATTTGGATTTTAAGCTGTATGCAGAAGGGAGCCTGCAAGAGATTTTTAAATGGATTTTTTAAACCAACAAGGATTTTTAGACTAGTTTTGTAGTCTTTAGAAGAGATGAGGGGGCTGGGGTTGTGGCTCAGTAGTAGAGTGCTTGCCTAGCATTCACGAGATATTGGGTTCGATTCTTAGCACCAAATAAATGTAAAATAAAGATATTGTGTCCACCTAAAACTTAAAAATAAATAAATATTTAAAAAAAAGAGATGAGTTTGGTGGCAATATACAGGATTGACTAGAGAGTAGTGAGGCTGGTTAGGGTTATTATTTTGTGGTAGTTCTTTTTTTTTTTTTGTGGTAGTTCTGTTGAAAGAGATTGGTGCCTTGAGGAAAGAGAAGATAGGTGACAAAGCTGAGGGAGTTAGAAAAAGGACTGGTGAGCTCTTAGAGATCAAGGATAAAAGAGATGTTAATATAGTTACTTTTAGAGACCAAGAAGCTAGGATTGAATGAAAGTTGAAGCTATAATAGGGGCAGTATTGATTTTGGACATTTGAGATTGAAGCGCAGTTCCAATGTGTATTTTATTTGTGAATTTTCATTTAATAAAAATGCTATTAAAAACTCCTACCATTTAAACAAAAAAATCCAATTAAAAAATGGGCAAAAGGACTTAAATAGACATTACTCTAAAGATGTACCATTGGCTAATAAGCACATCAGAATCTGTTGAGTATCACTGGTCACTAGGCAAAAAACAAACTACAAGTGCCAGTTTACATATATTAGGTTGGGTGTGAGCAAAAATAAAAATAATAATAAAAAGTATTATTGAGACTGAACAGAAATTGGAATCCTTGTGCATTACTGTTAGGAAGGTAAAAAAGCTGCTGTGGAAAATGGCTTGTGATCTTTTTTCAAAAAGTTACATGCAGGATCACCCTATGATTTAGCAGTTCCACTTCTAGGTGTCTGCATGAAGAAAATAGGGACTGCAGCAGAGGCTTGCATCATTCACAGTGGCCAAAAGGCAAGCTTAACCCATGCAACCCCTGGATAGATGAATGGGTAAACAGAATGTGGCATATGCAACTGGGGGAATAGTACTCAAGTTTACAATGGTAAGAGAAACTGATGCATGCCACCACCCGGGTAAAGCTTGAAAACATTACACTCAATGAAATATACCAGACGCAAAGGGAAAATATTGGAAGGTTCACTTGTATGAGGTGCCAGTCATAGGCAGATCCATAGGCAGGGTGGAGCAGAGGCTGGGTGAGGGTGAGAAGGAGAATATTTTGTTTAACAAGCAGTTTCTGATGTGGGTGAACAAAATTTATGGATGTGTGGTGGCGAGGTTGCGTCAGTTGTGGCTGTATTTAATGCCACTGAATTGTGTGGCTAAAATGGCAGATTTTATATTGTGTACATTTTAGCAAAGTTAAAAAACACAGACATGCCATTAAATAATTTCAGGGATTGTTGAGCATGCCAGTTAAAGTTTAATGGCTTTTCCTAGTTGATATTTTATACAGTGGTCCTTTAAGAAAGGAAGATGTGCTGGGTGTGGTGGTACACACCTTAATCCCAGCTACTCCAGCAGCTGAGGCAGCAGGATCACAAGTTTGAGGCCAGCCTGTACGACATAGTGAGATCCTGACTCAGAATAAACAAATTAAAAAGATCTGACTCTGGTAGAGTCCCGTGGGTACAATCCCCAGTTACACCCCCCACCCCCGCAAAAAAAAAAAGGTCTTAGTTTTTTAAAATATTTTTTTCTAATGTGAGTCTAGAATCAGTTGGTAAATACCTTCAGCTTTGTATAGGATACAGGCTGTAATATAGCCTGAGTCGGGATTTGAATTTTTGCTGCAAGGCTTCTGTCTAGTAGATTTTTTGATTTTTGTCTTCTCTTTCCATAAAATTTAATTATAAACATGTTTCATCTTTCCTTATAATACTTATCATTAGTCGTAATTTTGTGTTTTCTTATGGTATATGTTTTGAGGTGAGGAGAGAGAAAGGTATTTGGTAGGTATTTTCATTATTATTTAGATTCCATTAGTTAATAGATTATTATTTAGATACACTTTTCTTAGGTAAGCATTTTGTTTTGATTTTAGGCATTGTGGTGTGACTTCATTATATCACAGGATAAGTCTGAAAAGACCTACAGTAAGTTTCTTTTTGAAATTTTATTTCTTATGATGATTCCAAATGTTTATCTCATTTTTTTTCATTCAAAATGCATAGTCATGGTAATGGTTTAAGCTAACACTTTCATATTGTGCATAAGAATGTTTGTATCATCAGGTTGAACTCTTCAGCAGAACCCCCTTCAAAATGTTGTGTGCTTTCTTTTCAGGTAGACATGAAGTAGAGAAATGCATTTGTATATTGCAGAGCTCATGTATTAACATGCATAGCATAGAAGGGAAGGATTATATAGCTTCCTTACCATTTCAGGTAAACTTGAATGTTTTAGTTTTTTGTGTGTTTTGTTGGAGAGCAGTCTTAAATTAATTGGTTTCAGAGATCTTTTATGTCTTATAATCAAGAATGCTATTTTTAGTCAAAATAATTTAAGTTTTAGTAGCTTTAATGGCTTACCATTTTTCTGTTCTTTGCATAAGAAATAAGTTAATGAAGTGAATTATGAAGGTTTTTTTGGAGAAGTTTTTGTCAGTTTAAATAATATTAAAAATACTATTTTGAGCTAGGCATGTTGGTGCATGCCTGTAATTGCAGCACTCGGGAGGCTGAGGCAGGAGGATCTCAAATCTGAGTCCAGCCTCAGCAACTTATTGAGCGCTAAGCAACTTAGTGAGATCCTGCCTTAAAACAAAAAATAAAATGGAGCTGGGGATGTGGCTCAATGGTCAAGTACCCCTGGGTTCAATCCCTGATACCAGAATGAAAGTTATAATTTTTCTTCTGTTAAATAAGGCAAGTGACAGACTGGTTTTTTTCAAATGGTTTTTTTCAAAGCTGCTTATATTTTTAATGCCTAGTGCTTTGGTTAAAATTTTATCACATTGTCATTTTGATACTAGCCACCGGTAGGAATTTCACATTGAATTATTCCTTAGATTTGTTTTTATCCAAGAGTTGCTTGTTAGAATTACATCTTTTAAATTTTTATTTATTTATTTTGAGAGAGAGAATTTTTTAATAATTGTTTTTTGTTTTCGGCGGACACAACATCTTTGTTTGTATGTGGTGCTGAGGATTGAACCTGGGCCGCACGCATGCTAGGCGAGCGCGCTGCCGCTTGAGCCACATCCCCAGTCCAAGAATTACATTTTTAAAAAAATTATAGCTAGTGATCATATTACTTTGTAAAGTTCTTATTGAAAGAAAATTCAATGTTCTGTCATGTTTCCTAAAGACATTTTTTTAAAGAAAGGGTAGGTTCTCTTACTTGTGCCTTTTCCCACCATTTGCATGACAGGTTGCAAATGTTTGGCCTACAAAATATGGATTGTTGTTCGAACGAAGCAGCTCGTCACATGAGGTCCCTCCAGGTCCACCCAGGTATTCATTTGACTGAGTTCACACTTGGTTTTGAGGTAAAATTGCTAACCCCAAAGTTCTCTGAAGTCAATATTGTACATTTAGCAGCTCTACTTACTTGGCACTTAATTATCTATAGCTCCACCCACCCCTGAAGTAAATTTGAATGAGCAGATATATTAATAATGAGTCTCAGTTCTTAGCTCTGCAGTTTTTTCCTTGTGTTACTGTGGGCAAATGATTAGAGCTTTCTAATCTTTAGTTTCCATGTCTACCACAGGAATACTGTCATTTACCTCTTGGATTTATGCACGCTGACATAGGACCTAGTAGTGTGTATTAGTGCCCAGTAAATGGTAGATGGTTATTCATGGTCTACTGACTTTGTCTTTCTCTAAATGTTGTTCACTGAAGGGCAAGAACATATAGCACCTGCCATAGTGTGGGGCAAAAAGCAGACACTTGCTGAGTTTTAAGAAAATTGCTTACAGATTTTAATTTCTTTCTGTTCTGATAGAAGAAAACCTTTTCCCCCTTTATTTTAAAGTCATATTTAACAAATGTGAACTTCTATTTACTTGATGTTGTTTTACTGCTTCTTTTTTTCCCCCTAAGTACACCCATTTGTAAACAGGTGTAGAGGGCTGAGTTTCTTTCTTGGCTGCTACAGTCACACAGCCACCAAGAAAGCTCAATGAAAAGATGGCTTTAAGTCTTTCACTCTCTGGGTTCTGTAGTGACTGCTGTTGGCCAGACGTTCCCTGGGTTATAGTGATTTCCCCTCTCTGTATGTGTAGAACTACTATTAGAAGAGAGATCTCTAGGAATAAAATAGAAAAAACAGAAAAATAGTAAAGTTTGGGTTGCCTTTTGAGACGGTAAATTTCTAGTTGCTTATGTAATCTGGAGAAGATATTCCTTTGCAAGGAAATTGCAAAATTTTTGCACAAACATACTCTTTTTGTGTTGATGATTAATTGTGTATTTGTTTATTGCTAGAGAACCATTACCTACTATGTTCAGCATGCTGCATCCCCTAGATGAAATAACTCCACTTGTGTGTAAATCTGGAAGTAAGTGTTTTTTTATATTTTTTTACATAAAGACTCTCTTTTGACTTTAGGTGAGGGATGGGAATAAGCATGATACAAGAGTAACTTTTTCATTATAAAGGTATTTCATATTAACACAAACTTGAAGACCATGATACCAATTGTTTAGTAGCTATTTTAGTAAACATAAGGCATGTAAGTCAAAGAATGGTACTGTTGTATTTATTAACCTATCTGGAGTTGACTCTGTTCCTTGATAATTAGTAAGTTAACAAATGATCCTTGCATGAACTGAAAATGTAGGTCCTTATGCCAGTACTGTGTGAATTTTAGGATTTCACTTTCCCTATTCAAAACAACAGTTTAGTGGGATTTAGAACTTTTTCTACAGCTATTTCTAGATGCTATTCTATAAGTTTTAATAATAGGTAATCATAAATAATGAAGACAGAAAAATATGTTCTTTGACATTTTTAGTTTTAGGGCTTTATTCCAACGATATATTCTGAAATGTCACTGGGGCTTTTATATTCTGTTTTACAGGTTGGCAAACTAGAGTGTATTGGCTAAATCTGGTCTGCAGATTGTTTTCATACTGCTTATAATATAAGAGTAGTTTTTACTTTTAAAAAATTTTTCTGGTCCTGGGGATTGTACCCAGGGGCACTTTACCACTGAACTACATTCATTCCCAGCCTGTTTTATTTTTTATTTTGAGACAGCATCTTGTTGAGTTACTTAGGGCTTTGCTAAGTTTCTGAAACTGATTTTGAACTTGTGACCCTCCTGCCTTAGCCTCCCCAGTTGCTGGGATTACAGGAGTGCAACACCTTGCTGGGCTAAGTTTTTACCTTTTTGAAGACAACTGTAAAAAAGATTTTGCAGTGCAATCAGTATGTGGGCCCAAAAGCCTAAACATTTTACTCTTTGGCCTTTTATAGAAAAAGTTTGTTGATTTTTTTTTATATTATACTCATAACAAGTTACAGAGAACCTAAGTAAACATGTTAGAATCTCTGACTGAATGATACATAGTCATTACTGATCCTGGTTTTGAATAATATTTAATGACCTTAGGAATGGCATGTGGGATATCATGAGTACTAGGATTCAAAACTGTGAGTACAGTATGATTCTGATTTTATAAAAGCCTTGTGAGGTAGGTTAGCATAATGGTGTGCATCTGTACTCCCAGCTACTTGGGAGTCTGAGGAAAGATGATCATTTGAGCCCAGGAGCTTGGGGCCAGCTTGGACAGTGTAGCAAGACTCCATCTCTTAAAACAACAACAACTAAATCAAGAAGAAAAACTCCCTAACATATTAATAGGATAGTGGTATTATTATGAATGACTTTTTATCATTTCTTTATAAAATAATTCATTTTATAAAATTTTTCATTTTATAAAATAATTAAATTTTAATATTTTAACTGAGAGGAAAGTTTTTCAACATAAGCTGTTAAATAAGGATATGGAAACCAATCCATGGTATTAGAGACGTAAAAGCTGAACTTAGTAAGAAAACACTCATTTTTCATGTATAACCTGTAAGGCAGCAACAGTAGTATACTGTTCAGCACTGATTGATTAGTTATTATAGAGGACAGGTATATACAGAAGAAAGTGTATATATATATATGTATGTACAGTAAGAAGTGACACTGTGCAAATAGTTAATTTCAATTTAGAAATAAGTTTGTTGTTGAAGGAGTCTGGGATTCTATTTCTAGCCAATGAATTTGATGGTGAGTCAGAAATCCTCAACATTTAGTTTTATGTATATAAGGGTGAAATTTGTAGCACTTCATCTTTGATGTATTTTTAAAGAAGTTGATGCCCATAGTAAGCTTATTAAAATTTCAGGTCTAATTACATAGTATTTAATGGGTTTTGTGCTTTAATTGGCTTGGTTTCTCCTACTTTTAGGAATTTTAAGAACTCCGTTCACAACTTCAGTTTTATCAAGCCCATTGTTCTACACTTGATTGCTTCTATTTTATTTTAATTTAATTTAACATTTTATTTTGTTTTAGTTGTACCAGTTCTTTATTTGTTATTTTGAGATATGGTCTTGCAATGTTTCTAGGCTGACCTCAAGCTTATGATCCGGTAGCCTCAGCTTACCCAGTCAATAGCAGGTATTAATGGTGTGCACCCCGTGCCCAGCTTAACTTTCGTTTCTGTTTTATATTTAAGGTCTTTTTGGTTCATCACGGGTGCAATATGTTGTAGATCAGGCAATGAAAATTGTGTTCCTCAACATTGACCCCTCCATTGTCATGACCTATGATGCTGTTCACAATGTGCATTCTGTGTGGACTCTGCGGAGGGTCAAGCCAGAGGTAATGTCACCCTCGTTAATAGGGAAGACAGATGACACTGAACGTCTTCATATGTTTGTGGCTGACATATTTGTGTCATAGATTGAGCTTTTTAGGAAAAACAGAGTTGGCCTGGGGCTATAGCTCAGTTGGTAGAGTGCTTGCCTCACATGAACAAGGCCCTGGATTCAATCCCCAGCTCCACCAAAAAAAAAAGAAGTTATGTCTTTAGTTAAACTTACATGTGTCCTGCATTCTCATAAGGAAGCTTCCTTTTTATTCTAATTATTGTCTCTTTTTTGCCCCTTTGTTTTGACTTAGGAAGAGAATGTTGTTTTAAAGTTCTCTGATCAGGGAGGAACCCCACAGAACGTGGCCAGTAGCAGCTCCCTTACAGCTCATCTCAGAAGCCTCTCCAAAGGCGATTCCCCTGTGGCTTCACCTTTCCAGAATTACTCCTCCATTCACAGCCAGAGCCGCTCGACCTCATCGCCCAGTCTGCACTCCCGTTCACCTTCCATTTCCAATATGGCAGCCCTAAGGTGAACTGAGGGTCCCACAAACAGATACCTCCTTTTC